TTGACTCAGAAAATTGAATAAGTAAGTCATAATAGCAAAAGAGCTTTAGCATCAGCTTAAAAAACTGAAAAAAAACCGCTCTTTGAACTCGTAATAAACAATGAATGAGATCAAATAAAAGTCTTTCAATTTTAAAAACCTAAATGTACAAAACCAATGAATTAAATTCCAACTCAAAACAACTAAACTACTCATTTTCAAATAGTTAAGTCATAAAACACCAGATAAAGTACTCACTGGCTGTTCATAGTCTCGCTCTGTCATTTTCAGACAAAAGATTATTTCAAATTTAAAGCAAGACGTCTCCACTTCTGTATGTTGCGATAGTAATCACCAACAAAAATCTCTTGTATCTACTTTAAAGTAAATATCAGCTTTTGTTTTTCTTAGAATCAATAAAACTTCTAAACTGCTGTAAAACAAGCTCTTCCTTCTTTTTCCGCTCCTCTTGTGTGAAGCCACTTAAGACTCGTTTCTCTTCCGCGGTCATCACCTTAAAACAGGTCGTAAAAACAAAATCTTTGATAAAGAACTTTTTCATAAGTACCACTTTCAAATTTACTTCAAAAAATTAAGTCTCCCATGGAAACCCATTCAGACCATGACGCTTATTGAAACCAAATATTTTCCAGGTGTATAAGATAATATTAGCTTACCTGGTTCTCTTTACGTAGACGAGTAGCCTCCATACTTTTATGACGTGTACCGCTCATTACGTAACCAATTTTCTCAAAATCAGCGATTTCCGCAGAAGACAAACCGATTTCACCTCTTCGTGGGATTCTTTTACCTTGGGCGACATAGGCAGCCATTGCAGCAGCCTCACCGCGAAGCATGTCCTTTCCGTAGCTGGAAAAAAAGAAGCAACTTAACAGAATTGTCATCGAAATTAAACTTCGTTAAACTATGACTAAATAAAACCGTCTGTAAACGAAAGCTTAGCGATATAACCGTATTTTTTAGCAGCTTTCAAGCGTTGTTATTTTAACTGATATCCTTACTTGACATGTTTCGCATGGTCGTGAAGTAACGAGTTTTTCTGGAGCAAATGATCAGGAATTGAAGGACCAATCAACTCTGCCTCCTGCTGTTTAACCCTCTCAGCTTCAGCTTGACGCATCTCGTTAGTGACTTCGACCCATTCGTCACCACTATCAGACCTTGCAGAATGTTTTCTCTGGAAACAAGTTTCAAGTAAAACAAAAAAAGCAAATAAGCTAAAGACAAGATTTACCTTATGGCCCTTGTGCTTTTTATGCTTCTTTTTTTCCTTTTTCTCCTTTTTTGTTTTCTTCTTTTTTTTACGCTTTTCTTTTCGTCTAACGCTTTCGCTGCTGCTGCTGCTAGAATCTTCTTTATCAGTTTTATCCTTATTGCCAACTTTAGCTGACTTAAGATTCTCTTGCATCTGCTCAGCTTCCATTTCCTCATATCTAGAAATAGCAAAACGGAAGTTACCACTGGTTTCTTGTAGCAACAATTGTCCGGAACCAGACTTTAATTCAGTCTACCACAGCATACTCTAACAGCAGTTACAGGTAAAACACACCAACAAAGAGCAACCTGAGACTTAATTTTTCTTGCTAAAAACTGACAAAACTATGAATTTTTAAACAGACTTCCAGACATCCAGTCCTCAAAAAGCCCCATAGGAGTGAAAGGCTTCTTCACTGTTAACTGCAACAAAAAATTTCAAACCAGTCTCAATTAAACAATATGCCACACCTTTGATTTTGAACAACAACGGATCGATCGCACTGATATTTCATAATCTGCTGGTCAAAGCAAGAAACACCAATAGTCAAAACTTTCCATCTCCTATTTAACTCCGTAAACTAAGAAGGTAGACCTAGAAGTCGTATAGCCGCAGCTTCCTATACCAATTAAAAGCTGACTTTTCTCTTCTCCAAGTCATAACTTCCATTGAAAATCCCAAGCCTTTAAAGGTTTTTCTTTTTTTTACATAAAACTCGCCTAACTCAATAATTGGCAAAGATGCTACAGCTGTACAAAAGTGCATGGCAAAAACAAACACAGGGTTATGCCATAAATCACTCAAAGCGCGAGGCAACTTTGCAGTACGACAACAGGTTTATTTTGCTGCTAATAAATGTTCATCAGTAAAGCTTTCTAGGTTCCGAACTTCCAGAAGTTGCTTTATTCAGTATTTACCTGTCATTAACGAAAAAACACATTACTGGAAAAAAAATAAAACCTGAATAAGAGCCTAAAAACATCCAGATGTCTTTTTAAAGCGATATTTTTTATTACTTTTCCATGAAGAGACTCTCCAAAATTGCCCAAAATGACGAAAAGCTAGCAACTTGTGAAACAGTTATATTGCGTACATAAATAATAAAGGTTAATGAAATCAGGAGACTCAAAAATAACTTGTACAACAAGTTACCATTTAACGGCAGTTAAACTATATTAAGCGCGTCACCTACTGTGCATAAATCTCCTCAATTTCGCGCATTTGTGGAGAATGTCCCCAAACGGAAGGTGCACCACGAGCTGCAATACGTTTCCGCTGTTCGCGACGTCTGAAACCATATAACAAGTTCAGGAAATTCCATGAGCAGTATTGACAAAATTTCCCCAGAATGCAATTAAATAAAACAGAAAAAATAAAAGTCTGCGTCATGCTTAGTAAATCAACAATCTATGGAAGATAAAATCAAAAAAAAAAAAAAAAAAAAAAAAAAA